GGCGAGGGGGCCTGGGGGCCGGGAGGGGTCTGGGAGGGAGGAGCCAGCTGCCAGGGGGGCCGGGGGAGTCCCGTCCAGCTGCAGAAGAGGCTTCGGGACCTGGGGGCCCCTGGGGGCAAGACCACCACGGGGGAGTTGGCTACTGGGGGACCAGGGGGACTGGAGAGACTGGGATCCAGGGGCAGCTACTGGGCAGACTGCCTGAGCCCAGCTGCTGGGGAGAGCCACGTTGTACATATGTGTGTGTATGTATATATATAAAAATACACATGTATATATGTATGCATGCTCACTAGTGCACTTCCATCCTGCTCAGCCAGAGGAGGGGGTGGGATGAGGTGCTGTGTTCGTGTGAGTGCTCTGTGTGGCCGTCCGTGTATATATGTATGTATGTGGTATACACATGTGTTTGTGTGTAGGTGCCTACAGGGAATACAAGCTCAGCCTGGCTATTGGTTGGGGCTGAGGACATGGAGCGGCAGCAGCCTCTTTCGGGCTGTCACATCTGACACAATGCATTTTTCCCCAACAGCAACCTGTTTTAAGATCCAACCACTACAATTTGCAGTGAGGACCTGGCAGTATTTCCACTCCACAGAGCTGTGGTCCTGCCAGAAAGCAGACAAAAAGAAGAAAAACAAGATCTGGCATTCCTGCTGATGCACAAGTTATTTTCCATTAGTTTATTCCTCATTAAACGAATGCTTTCATGCCTCTCTGTTCTCCTCAAAGCAGCAAGATCAATGCTTGGCTCCCATCTGTTTTTTTCTATGTAGGTCACTCTCCTGGGCTCTTGCCTAGCTCCGTGGGTAGGGCTGGGCAGGAGCAGGAACCGACAGCGGAGCTGCAGCCTGTGGCCGATCCCTGTGAGCAATCCTGCAGCCTTAGGCACAGTCTGTGTCCCTACCCAGTCACCACTGCTCTGCTCATGCTGACCCCAATGCCCTGAGGCATCAAACTACGGTCATGCCCCAGCAGCCTGTCAGAAACACTTACTCTGGCTGTAGAAACCACAGTTTTCAGGATTTTTTTGCCTTCGAAGCATCCTCCTCTCCACATCCCTTTCCACACACCGAGAGCCAGCAGCTGTCATCTCTGCGCTGCGGTCAGGCTCTTCCTTCTCAGGCCATCTCACGTCCTTCCCTGTTTGGTGGCCTTGCTTCCATCACGGGAGGTTCCCAGCAGTCGCCTTCCCACGCCTGGGGCCCACCGCCCTGTGTTTCGT